GTGTAGGGGGTTAAGCCAGCTCCTGTGATACAAATATCCTATGTGGGTGCGGTTCGAGTCACAGGTGTGCCATTTCTGATTCAGCCCCCTGATGATGTGCCTGAGGCAGCAATGGATGATGGCCCAACTAGTTGGGTTCCCACCAGCATACGAGAAACTTAGATGGAGTTCCTGGTTCCCAGCTTCAGCCTGGCTCAGCTTTGGTCACTGTAGCCCTCTGGGGAGTGAACCAATAGATGGAAGGCCTGTATCTTTGCTCTCAAACTAACAAAAAAAATACACCTTTGAAAAATAGGCATATATGATTATTCGTTATGGCAGTCAATTAACTGAGTACCTACTATATGCCTGGTAGGTGGCTGTAAGAGAATGTGTATAAAATAATCATTAAGAATCAGTCATGTTTAAAATACACATAGTCTACTAAAGGACACAGATAACTAAGGCAGCAGTAGGAGATAACAATACTAACTAGTTTAAGGATAGGGTAACTGGCACATGAGAGAGACTTGACAGGATCATGGAAGTGCCAGAGAGGGTTTTCTAGGATCAGTTTTACAGGGTTATAACAGGAACAAAGGACAGGTGAGGATGAAGGTGAGGAGGAGAAGTGCAGCCCCAGATCCAGCTGCAGCTCCTGGCCCAGCTATCATTAAGCCAGGCAAAAGCACAACTCGGGGGTGGGACATTGGTGCACATGTCATGTTTGTGCCGGAACTGGATGGCAATGGGGATTTCAGATTTAAAAATGAACATAAAATCTCCTCTTCCAGGAATTGTCATGAAATTGGACTTTCTGATTGACAGCTTAGAGAACTTATCATAACAGGTTAGATTAATCTGAAATATACCTATGAACTACATGGCATACTTATTCCATGCCTGGCAGGGAGGAGTGAGAGAGAAATCAGTTTAAAGACCAAGACATATTCGAAAGGGTGTGGGGGAGGAGGAAGGGAAAAAGGAAAAGATATCTAGTATGCTGGCTAGATCCCACTACAGTTTATGAGTGTGTACCTGCTTATTTTTAACATACAGGTTAAAAAAGAATCCTGAATCATCTTGGCTGTATCTTGATCAAATTTCTGTCACAGGGCACATTACAGAGCAATTTGTTACAAAGCAGTAGAATCAGAATTGCAAGTGTGAAATTGTGAAGAAGTCATGCAAAGCATTGAGGAAACTCAAAGACTAGCAATGGCAAGAAATCAAGTTCTCTGTCTCCTGGCCTGGAAGTCTAGATATTAATAGGCTCAGAGTCCAATACCACTGGGTAGAAGTTAGGTATAGGACATCTTCCAGAAAAACAGAAACAGCAGGAGAAACACTGAAGACCTGAAGATCTAACAGAGGGAAGAAACATACCCCGAGTTCTCTCTTTCTATCCTGGTATCTTCTGCTGTCTGTCTCCCATTGGCGCAACCCAGCCAATGACCTTGACAGCACAATCTGTAAGGTTCACTGTCTTTCAGTACAGAGCAGAATATTGTCAAATCTATGAAGTCCCCATGTTCGTTCCCATCTCTAGGTCCTCACTTACACTATTATCATTCTCTCCCTACTTTAGCTGACCACCTTCTCACCCATCACACTTCTACCCACATGTCATTCCTCAGAAGCCTTCTCTGACAATGGAGGCCAGGTGCCTCCATCACATCTATCACGCTGGCACTCGGTCCTTTGCTTGTGCTTCTGCCTTTTCTCAGAATAAAACCCCCTGTCCTTTTTAGGAGACTGTCTGAGCCTGCTTCTGCCCTTCCCAGTCTCATCTCTCTGATTATCATCACCTTCTTTCAGCCCCTTAAACCTATCTCAGTACTTTGGCACACATCTTTCTCTAGCATGACTTTTTCACTGCTTTGCTTGGTTAATTCCTTCGAGAGTCCTATTACTCAAAAGGAAGTTGGGCCTGACATGACAACCTCTCACCTATCCTGCACTTCAAGGTGTTTGTCATGCTATCATACTAATTACATATTACTTGTGTGCTTATGTGCTTAATATCTTATTCGCCACTACGGCAAATTTCAGCCATCATACCATGTCTGGAAGCAGTTCCATGAATACTTAGTGAATGAGTTAAACACTTATTACATGAGTTTACATGGATATGGCTTTGGGGACATGGGAAAATATCAAATAGATTTTGTTTAGAGACTGAAAAAAATCATGAACTATTAATGTCTTTAACATTCATAAAGTTCACAGCTCCTCTCTTCTTTCCTGCTAGCTTCACACACTACAAGTGACACTGGTGGACATCAGAGTTACTGATAGTTAGACTCAAATTAGAAATGAGACTAAAAAAAAAAGGTCAAACAAAACAGCCAGACAAACTGAGTGGTTTTTTTGTTTGTTAGTTTGTCTACTGCTGCGCAAAACCAGTACTGATAAAGCCAGTCTGAGAGACAAATAGGGGAATGTACTCTGGACCAAGATTTACTCTGGACCAAGTCTTCAGTGTGCATCAGAAATACCTAGGGGACCTCTCTGAGGGTTCTGTCCCCAGAGAGTATCAATCAATGGTTCTGGAGTGAGATCTACACTTTTGTACTTTTAGCAAGCTCCTTCCAGGAGGCTGGATGCTAACCCAACTTTGGTCCACGTTTTTAGTAGCAGTAATGGGGAGTTCACAAACCATTGTGGATGCCACCTGGAACCCACAATTGAAGCATGACTGAACTTTGTATTTTTTACCAGTTCCTCCCACAATTGGTAAAATACTGCTTTCAAGTGTGTGCTTTTAAACTTGGCTGCCCATTGGAAACTCCTGGGGGGCTTTTAAAAACTACAAATGCCAACATCTCACCCTTAAAGACTTGAATAGGATGGATTTGGAGCACACACAGCGAGAGCAGAAGGTTTAAGGCCGTAAGTGATTTGATACACATAAAAGCTTGAGATCAACGGATCTAGCACAGAAATCCTCAGATTGAAATGACAACAAAATCATCCAGATGACTTCTGAAACCAGGGAATGCTTGGCCAAACCCTCAGTTCCTGATCCCTAATTCCAAAGAGCTGTGGCCTTGAAATCTGCATTATTAACAAGTTCTCAAGGGTTGCTGATGTTGCAGTTGCAAAGACCATGCTTTGAGACTCATGTCTTCCAGACGAACAGAACCCAGCAGGCTGACCAGCCTCGTCCTTAGGCAACATATTCATCAGTGAAACCCATCCTTTTGGGTCCTAGACTTGGGCTATCATGGAGCCCAACCAAGGTCATCTTTCTAGTGTTGTTCCATTGAGTCATGCAATGAACTGTGTGTCCACAACCCCAGGTATTAATAAAAAGTTCTTTTGCCCATCATTATTTACTTTGCATCTATGAAGGTACTTCAAAAACTTGGTGGAAAATAGAACTGAAAGCTAAGTTTGGAGCTTTTGGTTTCTCCATGGTAGTTAAGCCCATTCCCCACACTGGAGTGCCTGGGTGTGATTCCTGGTTGTGGCTCACAGCTGCAGCTTCTCAGCAGTGCAGGTGCTGGACAGTGGCAGTAGCAGTCATATCTCAAGTAACTCGGTTCCTGCCATTTGTGGGATTCTGGGATTGAGTTTCTAGCTCCCAACTCAATCCTTTGGGCCAACCCAAGCCATCTTGGACATTTGGGGATTGAACAACTAATTTTATCAGACAGAATGTGTCTGTTTCACAAACTGATAAAAGACAGTGAGTTGGTTCTGTTGCAAAAAAAAAAAAAATTAAACCCACCTATTGCCTTAGCTTGTATGTTTTTTTCATGAAATGTTTGAACATCCTTGTTTTCCTCTCAGTGATTTTCAGGAAAAGGAGGCTAATACAGAATAGGATCTAGGTATTTCTGTGTCCTTGGCCAGAGACCATCTTAATCTCACCATGATTTGCAACAGAACAATACACATGATAGTTATTTGGGTCAACTGCTTACCATTTTTGCTTAATTACCATATAGTGAAAAAAATTAGTCAAAACACATGTCAGATCAGCTTGCATGAGCTTTATTTGATTACAACAGTAACCTCCATTCTGTTTGCTAACCTTCACGCCTGGTTACACATGTAAAATGGTTGTCTGCTCACAACTTAAAGACATCAGAAGGAACCCTGGGTGTTAGAGACATGGTGAATTATATAACGCATTGATTTCCTGCAGTAAGAAATAGTTAAAGCTATAATTGCTGTTTTGCAAAGTCTGCTCTTGAACACGAATTCTCCTTGCTTCCAACATCCTAGCCCTGAGAGAGATGAGGAGCAAAAGGAGAAGGAGCAGGATGGGAGATGGGGTTTATGTAAACATGATAAATCTATTATATAACCTACATTACACACTAGACATGTTGAAAAAAAATTCTCGATCCAGAGCAACTGCTGCAAATCACACATCACTGATTACATGGCAGTATTCCTGGCGGGAAAGCCAGAAGTAGTGAAGGATGGATTTTAGCATGTCCTATGTGCTTATTTATGGTGCAGCACATCATCAAACAACACTTCACAGGCTCTAAGCTGGCGAACCGGAGGGCTTTGAAGAGAAATAATGAGCTGAGAGGTTCATGGCATGCTATTAAAAGTTTGTGATTGGATTTGGAAAATCAGATGGGTCTCCAAGGGAAAGGGACCATTTCAGAGCTGTTGCACTTAGAATATTTTTTTTTGAGCCCCTGGGCAGATATTTACGAGAAAGGAGAGTTGTTTTTGTCTCAAGTCCAGGTTCTGCCTCTGCTGTGTAGGGAGGAAGCTGCTTTGCGCTGCAGACCTGGATTCCTGGAATATCCATGATGTCACCTTTTTCTACTGATCTGCCCACCACCGCACAGAAGCGCACTATTAGCTCTGCAAGGCAGCAGCTTAGTTCTCCCACAAGTGGGCTGCAATTCCAGCCCGAAGCCAGTGAGAGATTTCACAGCCACTGAATAGCTCAAGGTACTGTGGAGTCAGCAAGATCAGGATGAGACCCACATCTTAGGAGCAAAATGATAAACAGAAAGAGAAGCTGCATGGATGTCTAGCTTTGGGGTTACCTGGTGCGTAACTTCCAGATGAAGTCTTTAGTCTTCTTGTTTGATGGCCTGGGTTTTTGTCTTTGAGATTTCCAGTGCTTTTCCGGCATTGGTGAGGAAGGAGAGCACCCTGCTCCTGATGGTGAATCAGGGAGTTCCTGTCCCTGAATTAGAAAGCAGACATTTTAGGATATGACTTCATAAAAGAGAACAGCACTTGAAAAAGAAAAAAAAAATACACACGTACACAGTAACGCATAAGTAGGCCAGCCCAGGATGAATCCGTGGTTAAGCCATTGTTCCCACTGTAGATGACACTTTAACTCTTGGAATCCCAGAGACTTACTACACACAGGCTGCATGGAGACAGAGCGCTGCAGCTGCTGCCAGAAAGCCAGGCTGCGCTGCCGGCTGCCTCCGGGAGGTCTGGCAACCCCCGCTTAGGAAGGCTCGGTCCTGAGCTCCTGACAGCCCAGAACCGCACCTGAGATGTTCTGTCTACCTCCCGTCTCCCTGTCAGTCCCATCGTAACGAACGGTTACTATGAATGAACAATGAAGCTGAGCACTCACACCTCGAGAGATTATTCATGGGCATTAGGGAGAAAAGGGTGGGTGTGGGGATTGAGGTTGTTATTCGAATCAAAAGCATCAACTGTTGTTTCTTTTCAGTGCTGTTCACAGAAGTCACATGGATGATGGTGATACCATTTCAAGCCTGCTCCAATCAAACCCTGAGATGTTTCGTATGGGCAAAGCTGTTCCCATTTTCCTTTTTTCCTCACTCTCTCACCACTGTGGGAAAATGAACTTATTTCAGTCACCCCTGACATCTGACCACTCAACTGATCACGAGGACATTGTGGCAAACCACAGCTCAGCTTGAAATGATCTCTTTCAGGCATAGTTCCTGTGCCTTACGTGGCTCGACCCCTGCCTCCAGGCGGCAGCTTCCCTCCATGTGGGGGGAGGGGCATTTTTCTCTTTGCTCCCTCTGCTCTCAGACGGGTCTTGCACTAGAATCTTTCGATTGGAATTGTCCTCAAACTAAGCTGAAGGCAAAGATAATGCCAGTGTCCCCAGGTCAAATGCCCAAAGTGGCACAACAATGCATGGTGTCCTTTTTTTAAGAAAGAAAAAAAATTAAAAACCAAAAAGCGTGAACACTTCAAACATCCTACAAAGCAGGGAAGGGAGCAGGGAGGGAAAGAGCCAATTGTCTTCATGAAGAGCAAGATGATCCAGCAGAGTTTATACAGATTCCTTCTGTTCGAATCATCTTGTTTTTTCCTAGCTGTTTTACACCTCCACAATCCTGCCATCTGCCCACTCTAAAGCAACACAGCAAAGCATTCCAAAAACAATTGCTGAAAGCAAATAATCTTTGATCAAACCCAAAGACAATTTTTTTTTCCCTCTAGCCTTTGGATCACCGCTATTTTTCCTGGAGAGAACAGAGTGTGACGTGGCCCAGAGGTTCCTGCTGTGGTTGGCTTGCTGCCTGAGAAGACCCCTGGCACGCTGTCACACCGGCAGGCTGATGAGAGAGGACTCGGTGTACTGATCTGGCTGCCCTCTTGGCCGAGGAGGGAGGAGGGGGTGGGCGGTGCCCTGGGCAGTTCTGTCCTACGCGGATCTGGTCTGTGTCACTGGAATATAGGTCAGCCTCTGCTGGATGACTTGAAGCAGGCTGGGAGCAAGCAGAGCCTGGGTATGTTCCAGGGCCCCCTCACTCACTTCATGCCCAGAACACATTAACAAGCCTCACTGTGATAAGGGCAGACAAAATCAGCCTTTTTACTTTACACACAAACGCTGGGGAAATAAATGTAAAGCTTAGCAAAGGCTTTATCAGTCCTCGGGTCAGGCCAAGATGAAGGTCAAATGCAGCTGCTAACCATTCACGCTTCCCACAAGGACTTTCCCTCAACCTCTGCTTTGGATAGTGGACTGGATGGGCAGTGTACATGTAGCTGTCAAGGGCGATCTGACAAACAAAATGACTCTGAATTACTGAGCAGTTCAGGTGGAGAAAGAGAGGACAGAAGAAGTTTTCTTTCCAACAGCAAAATGAGGAGTCTGTGAAAGAGCTGTTGGCCTCTCCAAGAGGTGATTACTTTAAAGGAACATTGGCAAATGCTTGAAACTCAACATGCGGGCTTGGTGATCTCCCTGCCCCCCACAGTTCATGGACGGATAAAGACATTACACGCATTGGATTCTTCCTATGAATTAAAATATCCGTGGCCTGAGTTTTGATACCAAAGGCTGCCAAGTTAGTGATGACCACACAGAAAAGAGGGATGGAGGACTAAGGTTTTGCCTTTTGGAAAATGTAGAAAAATGTTCACACACCAAAAAAAAAAAGTTCCGTCAGGTGTCCAACGTCAGAGGACAGTGCATGCTCAGTGTGAAACTCAAGACTCCTGGATCCCAGGGTCTAATTGTGTTTTGACTGAAGCAACATAAATAAAATAGATTAATGTTAGGGTGTTGTTCCAGGTGAACAAATTAAAGCAACAAGTACAGCTTCAAGGAAAATGGGATTATCTTTAATCAGGCTGTTGTTGAGTGTCATATATCTGATAACTATGAATTTATCCTATACACAGTAAGTATGCATCTGTCATGCAAGTTCAATTAAAAACACTATCTGCTTTTCCTGGTTTGGTATGGGTAACGTCCCCAACATGTGATGTGATGGAGGCCTCAGAGGAACGTAGCTGGTCAGATGGAGTCTCCCTTGCTGTACAGGTGATATTTACCCTGACTAAAGTCCTGCTTTAAAGTGTAAGCAGAGAGCTGAGATTCAAACCCTAGTTCACCAACTCCCTTTTGGGTTTCACAACCATTCAGTTCCCTGCCTGAAACAGCGTCTTGTTTTATATATTTACATCTAGGTCACTTGCTGTAAAAGTTCCCGTGGGGCGGCGGGGGGGAGGGGGGGAAGCTGAGATCAGCTCTATTTTAATAAGGGTTCTTCGAACTATCTGCTTATAATATTTTGCCCAAATACATAGGTTCTAAGATGTATTGGGTTCCTCATGAAGTATTATCATCCTTTCTCATTAAATAGTGGGTACATGTGTAAATAAACTGTGAGTACGACATCATAATCCTATAATCTGATTAAAATCTGCTCCAGTATTTTAAAGGCATTGAAATGTCCAGCCATAAAATAGTTTGGACCTTATAAGATGAAAATATTGACTTAAATGCTAGAGAGTTAAAAATGTTAACAAGAAGGTGATTTAATGCTAAGTGCATATTGACAAGGCAGAAAGAGGAAAGTTAATTTAGTCAGCGCCTTGGTTGGAGGACTTGGATGCCAACCTTTCTTAAAATAGAGAAAAAGGACATAGTGTAATCTTGTCTCTATTTTTGCCTTTCCTGTTTCAAAAAGGAAAGATATGAGGATAGGAGAAATAAGTTAAATGTTCTAGGAATACAGAGATGAAAAATAGAATATACCAACCCTCAAGGATCTCATGGTCGAGTAGGGAAGGCAAATACTTAACACAGTGCAATGACAGATGGGAAAAGAGGGATCTGTGCAAGATACTAAACAGACTGGAGAAGGAAGCCATCTCCCTGGGGAGAGAGAGGAAAGAAAGGGGGGTAGAGGGAGGAAAACATGAAGTGGAATTTAAAGACTTTGACCACGGGCCCAGAGTAGTAGCTCAACGGCTAAATCCTCACCTTACAAGCACCAGGATCCTATTTGAGTGCCAGTTTGTGTCCTGGCTGCTCCTTTTCCCATCCAGTTCCCGGCTTGTGGCCTGGGAAAGCAGTTGAGGATGACCCAAGCCTGGGCCCTTGCACCCATATGGGAGACGTGGAAACAGCTCCTGGCTTCGGTTCAGCTCAGCTCCAGCCATTGCAGCCATTTGGGGAGTGAATCAGAGGATGGAAGATCTTTCTGTCTTTCCTTCTCTGCATAAATCTGATCTGCTTTTCCAATAAAAATAAGTAAATCTTTTTTTTTAAAAAAAGACTTTGACTAAGTGGATAATGGAAGAAGGAAGAAAAGTTGGTATAAAGGCACAGAGCATGAAACACAGCGATGTTTCCGTTGCATCAGATTGGGAATCTGATATTACTGGGGAGTAGAGCCAACACAAGCAAATGTGGAGAAAAGGAACCAGTGAAGGAGTTAGGAGGCTACAGCTGGTGGTGCAGTGAGGCTGGTGGATTTAAAAAAAAACAGATTTGAGTTTTCGAAAAATTACTCTTGTGATGGCCAAGAATGAATGACTGGTCATCTGATCAACAAATGAAAAGCTGGTTGTTTTAAAAAAGCAATTAAGTAGACCAACTCCTGGCATGATTGTTGTTTTTTTTAAAAAAAAAATGCAGCGATAACAGTACAAAATATGAATTCAGACACTAAAACAGAAAAAAGCATTTAAAAATCATAAGAGAATCACATGAACAACTTTAAATGAGTGTATTTAAACCCTTAGACACACTGTACAATTTTTTTAGAAAGCCTAAGTTACAGAAATTGATACAAGAAGAAATTGACAAAGAATAAACCAATAAACTCACAATGAACAAGGATAAAATAACTGTGATCATAAACATGCCACAAAAGAATATTAGCCTCAGATGATTGTAGGAACATATGCATCTAAATATTTAAAGAAGAACAAATAATCCCTAATAAGTAATCATTAAGAAGAATAAAAAAACATTTTAAAATATTTTACCAATAACTATTTTACAAAGTCATTTTAGTCCTCATGCCAAAGTAATCTATGGACAGAATGTGAACCAATCTCACACACAGATATGCAAAAATATTAAGCAAATAACAGCAAGTAATAGAATTGACAGTATTCAAATATCACAAAAATATGGCATGCAAGGATTGTTTACACTATAAAGCCAATGAGGAGTTCATCATACTGACTTTAAAGTACACAATGGGAAATCAAAAAACATTCAATGAAAGTCTCTTTCTGTACATGATTTCTTCAAAAAATGCTGACTATTATGATCATAGCTACATGACTTATTCAGTTCTAATTTGGGTAAAAGGTAATCTAAGCTTTCATAAAAGAAAAAAACAAATAAGACAAAAAAGAATTTGTTTGAAAAGGAAAGAGAATAGAAATAAAGAGGATAATAGGGAAGCAATCACTGTGACAAATCCAGGTATAAGA